AGACTTGTGCCAGAATGAATGTCAGGAATTCATTGTCAGGAATGAATGTCAGCATTTGTTTAGTTTCATTAGGTGGAGATAGTGGGACGAGATGCATTTAAGTAAAGGGAGCTACTGGCATTGACCCCCAAGCCCAAACAAGCACATATCCACCAATCTGCACCCATTTATATCCCTTATGCTAAGATCCTGGGAACTCATCTGCACTCAAATGAATTTTAAAGGCAGTTTCATGGTTTCATTGTCAAAAATCTTGCCATGAGACACACGTTAGCTTAAAAAAACAATTCATCATGTTTAACATAAAAATTAAGCCAAATCTCCAACAAACATTTTACTTTCTTTTCTTTGGTACCTTCATACTAAAAATTAACCTTCTGTTAAGAGCAATAAGCCTGTGTGCCTTTAGGAGCCAAGAAGGTAACATGAATGAAAAGGCAGGCCAGGTAACCGAAAAATGTTAATAGAAGCATAAATACAAGACATCGCTTGGTTTCCTTTTTACTCTGAGCATAGAAACTGTGATAAATGACAGTGTGCTTTATTACTGTGATAAAGCACAGTGATAAATGGCAGCTGAAAGCAGCCTTGCAGCAGGGGCAGCAAAGGGAGTGTTGGGCACTGTGACCCTGACCGAGATGGGCAGAAGGGAGAGAGCATTCCCAATCCAAGGCACAACACTGCTTAGCTCTCCATGCAAGTTCTGGGGTTGCTAATTTCTGCTTTGTCCAAAGAACCTGTAAATCCAAATTTTAATGTGATGTTGGCTGAATGTTTTCTAAATTTTTAATTCTAGTAAAAAATACAGAACATAAATTTACCATCTTAACCATGTCTAAGTGTCCAGTTTCGGAGTGTTAAGTATACTCACACTATTGTGCAAACAATTGCTAGAACTTTTTCATCTTGCAAAACAGAAACACTCTACACATTAAACAAAAACTCCCCATTTCACTCTTCCCCAGCCCCTGGTAACCAGCATCCTGGTTTCTGTCTATGAATTTGACTATCTAGATACATCATATAAGTGGAATCATACGATATTTGTAAACCTTTTGTGCCTGGCTTATTTCACTTAGCATAAGGTCCTCAAGCTTCATCTATGTTGTGGCATGTGCCAAAATTTTCCTCCTTTTTAAGGCTGAACAGTGTTTCATTGTATTCTATTGATTCTTGACAATGTATGTACACATGACATTTTGTTTATACACTTCTCCATGTATGGGCACTTGGGCTGCTTCTACCTCTTAACTGTTGTGAATAATGTTGCTATGAACATGGCAAATATCTGTGCCAGGTCCTGCTTTTTTGTTTGCAATGAATTCACAGTTTTTCAAAATACCCTGCAAACATTAAACAATTAGGAATAAGGATGTGGTGAAATTGGAACCCTCATGCTCTGCTGGGGGACTGTACAATGGTCTATAGCAACTGCTATGGAAAACAGTATAGCGGTTCCTTCAAAAAATTAAACAGAGGTACCATGAAATCCTGCAATTCCACTTCTGAATATATGCTCAAAAGAATTGAAAGCAGGATATTTGCTTGCACAGATATTTGCACACTCCTGTTCACAGTAACATTATTCACAACAGCCAAGAGGTAGAAGCAGCCCAAATCTAGAATCATTTCTTGTTGAGGGGAGTTAATGAGCATGCATTCTGACAGAGCCTTCTGGACATCTATCTTTGTGTACAGGACAGTTCCACATTACAGACAATGTTTGCCTCACCCGAACTGAGGTTTGTGTAAGCACATTCTATAAAGTTCACATAACAACAAAATCACCAGAACAGTTTTGTTACATAGGTAAACTTGTGTCATGCAGGTTTGTTGTACCTATTATTTCATCACCCAGATATTAAGCCTAGCACCCATTAGTTGTTTTTCCTGATCCTCTCCCTCCTCCCACCCTCCACCTTCCAAAAGAGCCTAATGTGTGTTGTTCCCCTCTGTGTTCATGTGTTCTCATCATTTATCTCCCACTTATTAGTGAGAACATGTAGTATTTGGTTTTCTGTTCCTGTGTTACTTTGCTAAGGATAATGACCTCTCTCTCCATCTGTGTCCCTGCAAACAACATGATCTTGTTCCTTTTCAAGGCTGCTTAGTATCTAAGGATGCATTTTTTAGAAGGTATCCCTGTCGGATACCTTCTAAACACATGACAGCAACATGGAACTAACAATCTGTTGTTCACTTTTAATACCTATCAGACCAAACTGGAATGCAGGACAAGCTTCCAAGCAGATAGAGGAGATCAGTGCTTGTAATTCTCTACCTCTTGTTCTGCCTCATAGAACATCACCATTCCCAAGAAATATCGCTTCCTGTGACAAAAGGAAGCCAGCATTTAGAAAAGTATGAAGGAACACATATATACAACTCCATTTGGGGAAGGCTATAGGAAAAAGACCTGCTTTTGATTTGATGGGCTGTGCTTATAGAAAAGAGTTTTAGATCTTTAACTCATTCTTCCTTTATAAGGTAGCCACGTAGGCAGTTGGGCCTCTTGGAGATACACTGGACAGTGTCACTGATGCCTGTGATTACAGCACACTGAAGGGATTAAATCATAGAAATAATGCCCAATTCTGGAAAAATGAGATTGCAAATACTATCGTCTTTTCTTACTGGGGGTCAGTGCTATTGTATACAGCTCATCATAAACAGTCCCCAGGCAATTTTGCATGGCAGAGGAGCCTCTTCACTGTTGAAAGAAAGAAGGGAGGGAAGAAGGGAGAGAAGGAAAGAAGGAAGGAAGGAAGGAAGGAAGGAAGGAAGGAAGGAAGGAAGGAAGGAAGGAAGGAAGGAAAGAAGGAAGGGCGGGCCAACCTAATATAAGTGAGGCATGTGGAAAGTGCTTTATGTGTACTATTTTATTTATTCAGTACTTACAACAATAGAGATGAGATAGAGGTTCTCATCTCTTTTTTACAGAAGAGAAAACTAAGGCTCAGAGAGGTTAACTAACTTGTCCAAGTCATACATCTAATAAGTAGTTGGTGTGGGATTCAAAACTAGGCTAAGCCTCTTTGCACAGAACTTTCTTTGCTGAGCCGGTTGTTGGATCCTCAGTAGATATAAACAAAACCAAGGAAGGAAGGAAGATTTTAATCTCTAGTACAGGAAAGCACAAAAATGTATATACATCCCAAAAGCAGTACAAGGGGCTTGTTTGCTAACAGTAGTTTCCCAAAGATTATACCTTCTGCAGAAAACACATTATCCCGCTTGTTTCACCCTTCAGCTATTTAGAACAGCTGCCATGGAATTTCCCTTTAGACTAGAAAATGCCTTCAAGAAAGAGGCCACAAAATGGACGTTGATAGTCTATTCATCCAGGCGGAATTCACTATTCACTCATATTGAATGGTTAGAAAAAACTCTTTTTATGATATGCCCAGATCATTTGTTTGTTGTTGTTGTTGTTTTGTTGTTGTTTGGTTTTTGTTTTGTTTTGTTTGCAGAAACCATACATGAGACTTGAGGTTTTTTGTTTCCTTTTGTTTTTTTTTATTAGCCAGGGTAAGAGGACTATGGTTGGCAAAGGAGGAGTTTGACGTGTAAAAATAGGTGCAAGATTCTGTCAGGATGATGTTTATTTTACTTCAATTTCAAGGACGTTGAGGTATCTGACCCATTACCAACAGAATCTGGTAACATCCTTTTTCAAAAAGCCCAATTTCACTTGATGGCTCAACTATTCCTTCATAGAAAACTATGTACTTTGGTTTTACTCTACGGTGGGTAATATGATTTCATGGCCTTTTTAAACTTTCTATCAGGAAACAATGTGGCAGTACAAAGGATCATCCCAAAGCCATAAAGACTTAGGATAATTTTATTGCTCTTGAAACATCATCTCCAAACATATGTTTAGGGCAAAATCTGGTAAGGTACAGGCTAAGAACTCATTTTACTCTCAAGACTACTTTGAGTGGCAACAAAACAACATAGTTAACCAAAGCTCTGCTTTGCTTGTGCCAGGTATTATCCATTCATAGTGCAGCTTCATAAAATCATCCAGGGCTTCAGAGCTGAATGCATGTGGCTACCTCATTGCTTTGAAATCAGTGGCATTCTAATCTGGTGGGATAGTTTTACCAGTGATGTCGTCAGAACATGTTTGCTTATTTATACATACTTCTCCTAGGAAGAACGGTGTTTATCACAGTACCTTGAAATGTAAAGAATTTGAGCTCATAAAATGAAATCACATTTCAGCAAGATTTTTTCATGATTGTTCCTCATTCCATTAAGTTGTGATTTTTAAAAGCCGAAGCAACATGAATAAATTTTGCTTATGATATTAGGTTAGCCAATTCAGAATTGCAATCCGTCTCTCTTAGGTGTTTACAAAATTATTTCTTTAGACGTACTTATAATTATTTCTTTAGACATACTTATATTGGATTTGATTTAATATAGATATAGTTATTAGATTTTATTACCTAGAGAAAAAAATCCCATCATAATTCGCCCAAAATTAAGCCCGTAGTTTTGCAAAAATTATAGTAAGAAAATATATATGTATATGCATGGCAGAAACTTCTTCAGCAGTGGAGAGATTATATTAATATGCCCCGCAATGTCATGTGGCATAGCAGTGTCATTTAAATTAGAAATTTTTAAAAATTCTTCAACCTTTTCTAAACCCAATTCCTAGTAGTTTCAATGAGAGTTTTGTCTCAATAAATCATGTATAAGTGGACTTAAAAAAAAACTTCTGAACTCCTTTTTCCCAAGAACTTCTCTCCACTGCATGCATTACTGTTTCTTCTTTTTGTATCATGAGTGTGAATTATTTTCATGACTCTTGGCTGTAGCCAAGGTAACCTGAGCTTGCTTTTCATTTCTAATAATTATGTCCCATATAATAATAGTTATAATAATAATTATTATTATTATTATACTTTCTCCTCAGTAGAAGAGTGACTGGACCAATTCAAAAAGAATGAATCTCTTTTTTCTCTGATTCCCGTTTTCTTCCATTGTAGATTGGATTTGAGGCTCCTTCCCTCCAGGGACAGGCTGCAGCTCCAGTGAGTGGCAGTGGAGCTGATTCTGAGCCAGCTCGCCATATCTTCTCCTTTTCCTGGTTGAACTCCCTAAATGAATGATGTTCATTCCAACTGCTGCCCCTCTGTCTGCCTGGCTGAAATGCACATAGGCAGCAGGGAGCCCAAGTGAAATTCATATTATGCAGATGATGAAAGGGACCTCCGAACAGAATTTCTGCAAAAATAACCCAAAACTCTAATTCCAGATGACTTATCGAACATATTGAGGGGAAAGAATATTTTGAGAAAATAGTTGGAGAAAGCACTGGAAAAAATAAACTGATCTTATGCAAATCTTTTATTGTGTGGAAAACATTGTGAAGGGTGTGTAGGTATGGTACGTGTGTGTGTAAGTAACAAGTGGCAAATGTTGAAAAAAGCGGTCACTATGCTCTCGTCTTTAATAGGCGCTTTTTGTTATTATATTATAGTAGCTCTCATTTCCTTTACTCTTTTAACAGTGCAGGTGGTCAGTGAAAATCAGTGTCAATTCAGAAGTGACTGATTTATCAATATATGGACAAAAAGTAAATCATTGACCAAAGCTATGCAATGTTTCACAAAGTTTTCCTCTTTTGCATAAAAGATGTCACTGGATGTATATTCAGAAATATTCTTTGAATTTAGTGACACTTTCATAGTCCAGAAGGCTGAAGGCCTGGGACATCTCTTGAGACGTTTTTCTAATAGTTTTATATTTTCATAGATTAAGCACTTTAGTTGGAAAAAATCTTCCAGCAAGAGCTGTCTAGTTTCTCTTGTATTCACTGTGGCACTAATCTGGTAAACTGCAGAACAACTACATGTATTTACATATATATACACACACATCACATATTAAACATATATATATTTAAATCATGCTTTGTTAGTATTTGTCCAACCATAATGCCTCCTTCATAAGTGTAACTTTACTCTATATGAACTCTTAAATAAATGATGTTTTTAAAAGCTTTGTCTTATAATGATTTATTTAGTGTTCTGTGTTATCTTATTAATCCATTAGTTAAGTGTATTTCAAGAATCACAGATAAGAAGCATCTTCATACAGACAAATTAATTTTGAAGTATTAAACATTTGATTGAATTTTTAAAGCTATAAATAAACTACCAAAAGCAAATGCACTGTAAAACTAATTAAATGTGCTGTTCAGTTTTAGAAATGAATAAAGATACTTCATGTTCCTAAGCATAAAAAGTGATTAGGGTTGGCATAGGCATAAATGTGGAGGATATTTATGTAATTATTAAAGTCAAAATGTTCATCATAAGAAAATTTTTCCTTTGTGACATTTTATAACGACTAAATTTAGTCGTCTTAAGTGGAGATGCTCTCAAGTTTCTCTTGTTAGAAGTAGTCATTGGAAAACAGCTTAGAAAAAATTGTTTTATCGTACCAAAGTAGTAGTTTAACAGAGTGAGTCTTCCTCATAGAAAAAGAATGCAGCATTTTAGCCATATAGTTTGGGGGAATTTCTGCCTCGACACATCTTCCTTCCTTTCATCTTTTCCCCACTCTTTCCAATTATTTCCATTATTTCATAATGAAAATAACATTATGAAATGATCTTCCTTTTAGAATTATGATGTTTTAGAGCTACTGGGAGCAACTTCTTGAATTATTTCACTCAACCTCAGAGAAATAGCCCATGGCACAGAGATGAGCCCAAAGTTATTGCAGGGTCTGTGTGGGCCACTGACTAATGTTTGTATTTTTAGTAGAAAAATGTAATGCAGGAAATTTTTTGTTTTTTCTGGTGCTGAAGACAATTTGGAGAAGCTAAGAGATGAGTGTATTTCAAGTGTGTGAGCACTGAAGAGAAAAAATAAAGTCATGATTACCTTTGCAGCTTTTATTAAAAATATAAATATTCAACATTCTCTTACACAACCAAACTGACCAAGGACTGGAAAGATGTTTTATTACTGAAACGTTTACAAGAAAAAGTTGTTTCAAAGAGCTTACAGATTTAGTCTTACCCACCCAAGAGAATGGCATTCTCTTTGGCTCAGACCACAACAAAAACAACTGGGTGACTTCTGTCTGCTTTTCAAACAAAACGTTTTCTCCCACATCCACATTCCCTTTAAAACACCACTAAAAACACCTGGAAATGGAAACTAAACGTAGACAAAACGAATAACATTGTGTTGTTACTGCACGTGAATACACTTTGTGCATGCTAAGTAAAGGGTATAGGCTCTCTCCCTCTCTCCCTCCATGTTTCAAGCTATATAAAAATAAACAAATGGCATCAGAGCAGCGCTATGTTACAGAATACTGTTTTTTTATTTTTTGTGTGTGCTAAATGCAGAATCTTTTTGGCCAAACGCACCGTTTCATTTCCCAATAATCTCCATGAGTTTCCTGTTGCTGTGAGCTTGCTGCGCTAACTGCTCGGCCCTGGCCATTTCCAAGACTTCCCGGAGGAGGTGGAAGGTGAGATCCAGGGAGATGGGAGCCTCCTCGGACCGCCTCTCCCTCGCCGGTGCCTCCTGGTGGCCGCCGAGGGCGTTCTCGGAGCCGCGCTCTGCGACAGCCGCAGGGCTGTCGAGCGAGCGCCGAGGCAGCAGCAGCTGCTGCAGCAACACGCGGAAAAAGTTGGCCGCCTGCTCCTGCGAAAGGCGGCTGCCGCTGCCGCCGGCAAGGAGCGAGGAGGCGGGCGAGAGGGGAGCGGCCGGGCTCTTGTTGAGGTTCCCCAGGCGGAGGAAGTACTCCTCTCCCATGCGGAGCAGGACCGGCCGAGCCTGCGGCTGCTGGGGCTGCTCGGTCTGCGGCGGCGGCTGGAAGAAATCCAGGGGCTGAGGGTGCTGCGGCGCCTGCCGGCCTCCCGGGACCGGCCCACGGCTCAGGAGCGCCCTGCATGGCGGGCAGGGCAGGAGAGCCACCAGCAGGACGCCTGCGGACACGAGCAGCGGCAGCCGCATGTTAGGGGCGCTCGCTGCAGCACAGAGGTGGGCGGAGGGCGGAATGAGAGAGAGGAAGAGAGAAAGAAGAGTTGGTCAGAGTTCGCTCAACTGGGAGGTGCACACGAGGTCTTCCTACGGGACTCCCTTAGACGTGCTGGGCTCCGGCCTCAGGGCTTCGTGTGGGCGCTGTCCGCGGTGCTGAAGCGTCTGGGGAGCGGGGAGAGGGGCGCCTGCAGGGCTCCGCACCTAAGCTCACGCCCTGGCCGGGCAGGAGTAACCCTTCTTTCTAGACTCCGAAGGGACGGTCCCTGAGTCGTCTTCCTAATGATCTTCAAAACTAATTTTCCCGAGCCTAGATAAGAGCCACGGATTTAAGATCCCACCCGCGCTGACCACCTCCCTTCCAGATATTTCAGCATTTTCTTCCAAATTGAGAACTACTGCCTCTGGTCCTCCCTCTCCACCCCTGCCCTTGCTGCCTTCTCTCGGGGGTCAGGATAGAAGCGGGTGGGGGTGCTCCTTTACACAGCCAGTGAGGAGCAACTGGCAGCACGGGTAACGAAGAGCAGCCGTCTAAGTTTGCTTTTGCCACATCCCAGCTACTACTAGAATCTTAAGGGCCAGTCCACGAACACGCGCACACACACACCGCACGCGCGCGCGCATACACAAACACACACGCATACACACACACACACACACGCACACACATGCATACACATGCACACAGGCAAGGGCAGGCAGGGGCAGCCGGCTCTGCCGCGCACCTCGCGGCAGCTCAGGCAGCGCAAAGTTGGTGGCGCGTTCAGTCCAAGCGCTCCCTACCTTCCCAGGCGCTTCGCAGGTGAGCCGGGTGCTGCGGCCTCTCTGCAGAGGGACGTCTCCGGGGCTTTCTCTGGAGGTTGTCTTCCCCTCTCCTTTCTGTTCCTACTCTCTTTTTCTTTCTCTCCTCTTTCCCCTCAGTCTCTCAATGGACTTGGTCTCCGAGTTTCTCCACTCCAGAGCCTGGAGTGGGATTTTATAGTGTCGACCCTCTTCAGAAACCACGCAGCATTTGCCTAATAAGCTGACGCTCTCTTGACAGCTCGATTGCGTGCTGCCTCTGCTCCTGCATAAATCATAGGGCCCTGCCAAGGAGCGAGGGGCAGAATTTTGCTATCTCAACACTGAATCTCACATCCAATTATATCAACAGATATTTATCGCCTCTTGGTGACGTCAACGAGCCCTAAAATGGAAGGGCTTCTTATGACTTGTCCATTGACAAAAATTCTTGAATGAGATTTCCCAAGTGTGAAAACATATTGACCTCTTACTATGAGAGGCCAAATTAGGGATGTGCAAAGAGACAACGAATGGGAGGAGGAAAGGGAAGTGGGAAGGAAGGGAGTTCTCCCAGTGCAGCCCTGCCAGGAAAGCAGCAGCCAGTTGGAGAGGGTGGATCTGGATGCCCCATCTCCTAACCTCTCTGACCAGGTGTCTCTGACACCTCAGTATCTAGAAATACCCCTTTGCTAGAGACAGAGTCTCACCATCTTTCTGCCTGGAAAAGAATGAAGCATCAGGAAAAAGGTGTGCAGGAACATCCGGCTTTTAAATGTCTATCTGCTTTTTCCTCCCAAGAGCAAACACATAAAGGAGTTATGAGTCTGCAGAAGCAAGACCAATAATTCTCTTAAAATGCAGTTCAAGTTTTTTAAATGATGACAAGAGCTATTCCCATGGCGAAGGGACACAAACCAGGGTCAGTAAGGGGTGCATCAAAGATTTTACATTCTCTCAGAAACTCCCTGCCCCTTTTTTGTCTCTCCTCTCACAATCTAGTATTAATTGTGGACTTACTCTTCTATTCCCAAATTAAAGAGAGAGAGAAGGCCAGTGAGGGATGCATGAGTGAAACAAGCTTTACTTATACAATGCAAACCCAATGAGAGGCATCCACTCTAACTTCCTAATCTATGTGGAAAACTGCTCGACTACAGGACTAAATTAAGCAGTTACATGTTTTCATTGATCAATATTGAGTCTGTAAAGAAGTAATCTCATTCATTTCACTTCCAAATACTATCAACATCCATAATAGTATCCATATCTGGGCCACCCAGGTTGGTTCCTTTTAATCATTTCTTTTTCCAAATGCAAATGTGCTTCATATGAGCCTGTTAAATAAATGCTCTCTGATATTTCACAGAATGGAATGGAATGCTAAGACTGTAAAACTACACTCAATTTTTGAATTAAATTGATACTATCATATAGTGGGAGGCAGTTACCTCTGATTCTGCAATTCAAACTGCAATTCCAAATTCCTGTGCCTGTGATTCAATTCAGCTTCCAGATAACCATCAGAGTTGTTTATCGGAAATTTCCGGCTCCTCATTTCTGGTTACTTCTGCTGCTTCCTTTGTAGCTAATGTGACAAATGATGCAATGCATATTTCAACTCCCACTTTGGGTCTATACCAATCCACAACCGCTCTTAGGAACAAAGGAAGGCAGGGAGAGAAATGCTGACAGTTTGTAGAGAAGCCAGCCCCTAGTTGGATCACCGCACTATGTTATGTACTTTTGACACAAGAGAACAGAGAAAGAAATGTGTCTACTGGGAAAGATGTGAGTTGTTAATAGAAGATCATGATTATGGAAAATGGTTAAGCTTCCGGGAGAAAGCTGTGTTTTATACTGGGAGGAAAGTACACAGAACATTAGATTTTGTTATTGTGGGCTTTTTAAGCTGGAATGGGTTCAACATTTTGGTTTACTCTCCTTTATGACCTGTTTTCTGACCCCATTAGCAGATTTCAGCTTGGATGTCGATCTGGAGGTGAAACGTTGACTTGGAATAGGAAGTTGCAATGCAGTAAATGGATACAGAAGAGGAACTAGGAAAGGGATATGGTCATGAGTTTAGCTGGGAGGTCTGGGAGGTTCTTCCAGAGAAGACACAAGTTTTGGGTTCTGACTAACCCTACACCCCTACGTATCTCACTCCCATTGGGCTATCCGAGGGATGTTGTTTTAGCATAGCTCCCTGTTCACTGTTGAGTCCTTGCTGTGAGGTTTTCTTGCGGTAAGTCATTAATGGAACCAAAGTGGCTCCAACTACGTAGTAAGGAAAGTTCTCTTTAGAAGCTGGAGGAAGAGAGGCTATACACAGCAGCTTCTATATGCCACAATTAATCTGTATTAGTCTATTTTCACACTGCTAAGAAAGACATACCCAAGACTGGATAACTTATAAAGGTAAGTGGCTTAATGAACTCACATTTTCACATGGTAGGGGAGGCCTCACAGTCATGGCAGAAGGCAAAGGAGAAGCAAAGGCACGTCTTACACAGTGGCAGGCAAGAGAGCATGTGCAGGGGGAACTCTCCTTTCTAAAACTATCAGATCTGATGAGACTTATTCACTATCATGAGAAGAGCATGGGAAAGACTCACCCTCATGATTCAATTACCTCCCACCAGATTCCTCCCATGACACATGGGAGCTACAACTCAAGATGAAATTTGGGTGGAAACAGCCTAACCATATCATTATCCAAAATTTATATTTCATTAAATCACCCAATGTTTATATTAGAAATGACTTAAAGAGATCACTCGGTTCAAATGAGAACCAGAGAAGTTAAGTGACTTACCTGAAGTCACTCAGCTGAGTTAGTGGTAAAGTGAGAATTAGAAACCAGTTCTTTTGATTACCAGCCCATATCATTTGCATAATGTAACAACCACCTTTGGATTTTCTTTTCCAGCAAAGACACACAAATTGAGGTGAAAAGACGAATTTTTAAAAAATTTTAGAGCTAGAATCTCACTTTGTTGCCCAAACTGAAGGCACCATGATAGCTCACTGCAGCCTAGAACTCCAGGGCTCAAGTGATTCTCAGCCTCCTGAGCAGTTGGAATTATAGGCATCAATCACCATGGCTTGCCTGAGAAGATGTATTTAGATAAAGTAATATATTCACACACCAATTGTGGAGTACCTTGTCTTACATTTTCCTTTTATTGATAAACTAAGGTATGAGAATGTGGAAATTCTTTGGCATGCTGATGTCTGTGGCACCTGATTTTCAATCAATGTGCACATGCATTGCAATTTACTTTTCAGTATTGTCAAATTAAAATGCATTAATTTGATTATTCTGCCTAGGTGACCTTTGAAAAAAGTGATCTTTGGATACAGTATAGAGGATGAGAGGGATTCTCAAAATCATAATATAGATCTATGATTTGATAAATAACATATGCAGATAACTTAAATGTGCGTAAATATCCAAATCCATAAAAATCACCACTGACAGATCTGATCTTACATGTAGAAATAACTTCTTGAAAAGAGTCATTGGAGAACCAGTTGCAATGCTTTTAGAACCTAAAAGCACAATCCAAGAAACATGAGCACAAAACAGGGATTACTTCATGTTTTAAATCATATTTTTCAACATCTACATAATATATGATATAGGTAAATTAAAACAGACGTGACATGACAGTCTAAAAAAGAAATATCAGAAATAATAGGTAACTAGTGGGCATATTTTTGTCACTTGCATCACCTTGTACCTTTGCAAGCTTCTATCAGTACAGCTCGTGGCAAACAAACACCGTTTCCAAGTTGGTTAACGGAAACATTTGTTGAAATAAATCTACCATTTCCGATGACAGCCTTCAGAAATGCCGAGGGTGGACTGGTGGTTTGGTAATTGTTTGTAACTGTTCTTTAGATAGGTTAAGTAGCTGCCTTTTGCTTCCACAGGAGGACTGAGGAAAGGCTCTCAAACAGCAAAATATCTAACAGCTTCACTGGCCACAATAACTTTTTCTTCAAAACCATACATGCTCTTTGCAGAAAACTTAGAAAAATCAGAAAAGCATAAAGAAGAACATAAAATTCCTCAGAATATCAGAATCTAAACACAGTTAATTAATATTTTGTTGTTTCCCCTGAGCATTTTTCCTGAGTTCAAAATTATAATTGAGATAACATTATGTTCTTAATACTGAATCTCAGTTAAAAAAAAAAAAACTCTCATTTTAGCACTTAAAATAATTGAGAGCAAATTTTAAATGTTCTCATTACCAAAAATTGGTAAGTAAGCGAGGTAATGGATATGTTAATTAGTTTGATTTAGCCATTCCACATATATCAAAACATGTTATACACCAGAAATACATACAATTTTTATTTGTCAATTTACATTAATTAATTCATTGAAAAATAATTTATTGAAGAAATCTTCCCCAGATCCTATATTAGGTTTAGCACCTGTGCTTTATATTTTCCTAACAGCATGAATACTCTTCATTGCAAAGTTCACATTTTGTCACAGTTACTGGTACAATATGTACCTCCTTTGCTAGACTATAAACTGTATAGCAGGGCTTTGATTGTCTTTGTAAGTTGCCATATCCATTTCTCTTGCCCCAAACATGGTAGATACCCAGTAAGCCTGTTGAATGAATGAAATAATGAAAGAATGAATGTACGTATAAAAATTACCCATAAGCTAAACATATTATCCAGACATAACTAAAATTTTATAACCTACTTTTTCCCACTTAAAGTTATATCTCAAACATTTTCCTATATCCAAGTGAAATCCTTTTTATCACATGATATTGCATCAAGATGTGCCAAATTTTCTATTTATTCTTCATTGTTGATCACTGCCCTAATAACCTACTTTTTATTCTTCTTCATCTTACCCTTGCACTTTTAAGGAATATACCCACAGAATTATTTCCTGATTCTTCAAATATAAACAATATCTCTTAACTCCCAGATTGTAAGATGTGATGATTTATCCCTTCAACCATTCAGACACCCTCCTCCACCTTGATCTCTCAGTCTCTTTCATCTGTACTTTAACTTCTAGATTGTCCATGTTAATTCTTTTTATAATCATAGTTAAGTCTTCTGTGCTTTTGTGCTTTTACTGTAGATTATTCTACACTTGATCTTAGCCAAAGGGCCAAGAAGCGATAGACATAGATAGATAGATTCTAAAAGTGGGAAATCAATATAGTTTTTAATTATTGACTATGTAAATTGTTCATTGCAGAATAAGATCATAGACTCTGATTACATTTCCTATCTTGTTTTTGGTTTTTCTATAATTTTCAATTGCCACTTTTATATTTTTTATGCTCCCAGTTTGGTTTTTTCCTAGAATTACAAATTGTCTTAATTTTGTTCTCATTTGTTTTCAAATTTTCCATCATAATAAGTCCTTACCCTCTTTTTAAGACCTCACTCCTTGAGCACGCTAACCTGCTGCTTTCAAACTACTTTCTAAATCTGACACACAGGTATCTTCCTGGGACTTCTCTTTTCTTCTTTCCTGGATCGAATTTCCTGTCCAGAATCTCATGACTTATTCCCTCTTGATCTCAGAATTTTATTTTGCTAGAGAACATCCTTTGGTAACTTTCTAAGAAAGGATATATGAGTGGCATATTTTCTGACTTCTTGCATTCCTGAAAATGATTATATTTTACCCAGATATTTGAGTGATACTTTATCAAGGTATACAATTTCAGGTTAAATATAATTCTCCGTTAGACTTTTAGGTGTTATTCTCTAGTGTTGTACTATCTCGTGCTGCTGCTAAGAAATCCCGTCATTCTGATCCTAATTTCCTTTCCTTCTTTCCTTCCTTCCTTCGTTCCTTCCTTCCTTCTTTCTCTCTTTCTTTCTTTTTCTTTCTCTTTCTTTCTTTCTTTTCCTTCCTTTCCTCCTTCCTTCCTTCCTTCTTTTTTTTGATGGTCTTACTCTGTCACCCAGGCTGGACAGTGCAGTGGTATGATCTCAACTCACTGCAACCTCTGCCTCCCCAGTTCAAGCGATTCTCCCATCTCAGCTTCCCGAGTAGCAGCTGGAACTATAGGCACACACCACCATGCCTGGCTAATTTTTGTATTTTTAGTAGAGATGGGGTTTCACCATGTTGGCCAGGCTGGTCTCCAACTCCTGACCTCAGGTGATCCACCCACCTTGGCCTCCCAAAGTGCTGGAATTACAGGAGTGAGCCACTATGCCCAGCCTGATTCTCATTTTTCATAGGACCTTTTTTCTTATTCTCTCTTGAAGTTTTTAGTCTCTTCTTTTTTTGTTTATGTTCTGAAATTTTAGGATGGTCTTTGGGTCTTTTTTCATGTACGCATTTTAATTTGGAGACTCTTGCTCTTCAAGGGTGAAAAAAATCTCCTGTATTATTTCTATTATAATTTTTTCTATTTTCTTTATTCTTTCTTTTTGGGGATTTCTATTGTGAGATGTTCTCTCCTCCATTGGCTGTCTGTGTTTACTATTTTCTGTCCTATTAGAACTTTTAGTTTGGCATTCTACTTTCTAAGATATTCTTCAATATCTTCCAGCTCTTCAGTTACTTTCATTTTACAGCTGTATATTCAACCTCCAGGCTTTTTATTCTTTCTCCATTCCTTTTTCATAACTCCTGTCCTTGCTTTACGGTGTAATGTTCTCTCCGATCTCTTTAAGAATATTAACTAGAAGGTTTCTAAGTTTTCTTTCTTTCCCTAAATTATCTATTCCATCCACGGTCATTTAAAAATTTTTATTTATCTTAATTTCTCAATTTTATGCTGGAGATCTTTGTGAAATCCCTGAAGGTGACCATGTGTATGAATGGTAGCACCCTCATGTTTAAGAATTCATCAGTACAAAGCTGATGAAGAACTCTATGTGCAGAGTAAGAAGCGTGCTTCTCGCCAAGCAGCCTTCCTTCCAGGGTAATCACATGGTAAACTCAGGATACCCATGAATGTCATATTGTAGAAAATTCCTCTCTGTAGCCATTCAATTTTATTTAAGAAAAATATATGTATTAGTTTTCCGAGGTTGCCATAGAAAATAGCACAGACAGGATAACTTAAACAACAGAAATTTATTTTCTGCCTTCTGGAGGCTAGAAGTCCAAGATCAAAGTGTCAACAGAGTTGTTTTCTTCCAAGGCCTCACTCCTTGGCTTGCAGTTGGCCATCTTCTCCCTGTGCCTTCACAAGGCCTTTCCTCTGTGTGTGTCCATGCTTCCATCTCCTCTGCCTACGAAGACACCAGTCATACTGGATTATGGCCAACCCATATGACCTAATTTAAACTTTAATTACCTCTTTAAAGGCCCCATCTCCAAATACAGTCAGAATACAAAATTCACATGTGAATTTTCTACATCAAGGGGACACATTTCAGCCAATAACAATATGTTTGCCGATGTGTATTTCTTTATTTGCTTGTTGCCTAACAGGCAGACATTTGAATGTCTGGCATTCTCCACATGGGATGAGAAAAGCTGGTGGAGAGGTTGACTCTTCCATATACAGACATTCGGTTTTCCCTGTATTTTTGACCCTTTTCTCATTCCTGTCTCTGGTGAGACTTGGAGGTTCTGAGCTTGAGCCCCTCCTAGGCTCTGCAGATGGGATCCTCCCTC